CAAAAGGAAAGAGAAAAGAAAGCTTATGAGTGTTATTTTTGAAGGGTGTTATTTTTTTATCAGTAGACTGTTTTCACTTAAAGGGTTATTTTTCAAAACGCCCAAATAGAAGATGCCTTTTTGTTTGTATCCTGCATTTTTTTGAGTAAGGCTCTAATTACCTTACAATCCAAGGTTTTGAATTTAGTTTCACGTAGCTGAATTTCCCTATGTCACAGATGAATCACAATTTTTATTGTTGAATTTGGTTACTACTCCTGTATTTTCCCTTCTAAAGTGTAAGAGATCCTTCTATTCTGAGACTTGTACAAACAATTGAGCTCTTTTTGTTTTAAATAATAATGAACAAATATTTTCTTAATTTTGATAACATTTATGTTTTATTGTCAGTTGTGTTTAAAGTTAATTCCATTTCCTTTTTTAATGCCATCTCTTATCTGGGCTTCATAAAAAGAAATGTGGCCAGCAGGTAGGGGTGATTCTTCCTCTACTCTGCTCATGCAAGATCCCATCCAGAGTACTGTGTTCAGCTCTGGAGTCCTCAGTACAGGTCCAGAGCAGAGGGCCACAAAAGTAATCACAGGGATGGAGCACCTCTGTTACGAGAAAAGGCTGCGAGAGTTGGGCTTGCTCAGCCTGGAGAAGAGAAGGCTCTGGGAACACTTTATTGCCCTTTTTCAGTACTTAAAGGGGGCTTATACAAAAGACAGAGGCTTTTTGATGAGCCTGAAGTGACAGGACAAGGGGCAATTTGTTTTTATCTGAAAGAGGGTAGGTTTAGATGGGATATAATGAAGATGGTTTTTACAAGGACCTACACACACCTTTTCACAAGGTGTTACAAGGTTTTTTCACAAGGTTTTTTTTTTACAAGGTTTTACACACACGCACACCTTTTTACAAGGGTGGTAAGAAACTTGGAAAGGTTTCCCAAAAAGCTGTTGATGCCCCATCTTTGGAAGTGTTCAAGGTCAGGTTGGATGAGCTTTGCACAACCTGACCTAGTGAAATGGTAAGCTCGTGGTAAGAAGGTTGGACTAGATGATCTTTAAAAGCCCCTTCAAACACAAATCGTTCTTTGAGTCTACAATTTTAGTTGGTTTTTTTTTTTAAATATAAAATTATGACCTTTTTTTTTAGAAGATTAGTAAGGTGAAATCCCCCCTGCTTTAAATCTGGAAATCTGTAGGTGAAGTTGTCACCTCAGGTCACTTTATACTCAAAGAAGGCAACACATGTCTTTTTGGCTCTGATTCATAGATTTTATTTTGATATCTGTATAAAGTCAGTCTGCTTGGTTTGTTGGTTTTTTTTTTTAGGTATCTAAATAAGAAAGTGGGCAAAAAAGAACGATTGCACTGCCATGGAGTCTGGTGGAATCCCAGAATCACACAGTGGCTGAGGTCGGACGGGAGCTCTGAAGGAAGTCTTGTCCAATCATAGACTTTGTTTTTATTAATTTTATCTGATTTCACTGAACCATACCCAGCCAGCTTTAGAGGATCCGAGGATGGTTTCCACAACGCCTCTGGGCAACCTGCAGCAGTCCTCAGTCACCCTCACGTTACAGAAGTGTTTCCTTTTCTTCAAATGGAGCCGGTGAGATTATTACCTTGTAAAAATACTCACTTTAAGTAGATCCTGACTAGTGATTGCCTGTTTAACACATGAATGTATTCTAAAGTCTGTCATTGTTACAGCAAATCTATTGTAATAATTTCTGAAAGATTAAATAACATGCAGAGTTAAAAGCTGAAGTATCACCTTGGCAAAACGTTTAAGAAAACGTCAAACGTTACCTGCAGGTTGTTACTTATTTGAAATTGCATGGGGTTTGTGAAGAATTTGATCAAAATTTAAATATAAAAGCAAGATCGCAAAGGTTTACTTTTCAAAGGTTACGTGCACTGGAAATTCATTAGCTTTTTTTTTTTTTAAATCCGGAGTTAAAATAGGTAAGGATGTATTTAAAGTACAGTGTGTGGCTGAAGTTAAACACATACTTCAGGGATCTGCTGGACTTTCACCTAAATCTGTAATCAGATTTGTGAAAAAGAATAGTTAAAAACCAGCAGGTAAGTGCATGTAAGAAATAGTATATAAGGAGTTAAGGCTTTGTAATAAATTTGGCAATCACTCGATCACATTGATCGTCTCTTTGTTGTCCGTGACTCCCGCGTCAACAAGCGGCGCCCGAACAGGGACCCTCCGATCGTTAACTCGACAAAGACAAGTTTGAAGGTCCGACAAAAAGGAGGGGGCGGAGAGCCGGCCGAAATTCAGCGCTGCCCTGGCGCTGGGAAGTCAGACGTCTGCAAAACTTGGGCAATCTCACCCTGATCAGGTGAGCAGCTGGGGAGGAGATGGGGCACTTGCTATCCAAAGAGGAACAGGCGGTGGTGAAGCTCCTCCAACACATTCTCTCTAAGAGAGGACTGCAATATGATAGTGCCGCCTTACAGAGGCCGTTAAAGTGGTCCCGTGATCGTGAGGTTAGTAAAGGGACCAAAGGTGCACAGAAACACTCTAGACTTTGGAGATCGCTGTTCGAGACTTTGAAAGAGATGAAATTGGAAAGGGCGGCGGTAGCTTCTGTATTTGCCACCACAGCTCCAGAAGGGGCTGTCTCCCCTAACCCCCATCACAGTGCTGCGGCTATGACTTTTGCACCTCCTGTGGTACGTGGAATGGTGCCGAAAAAATCAAAGCCTCGAGCCGATGAAAGCAAGAGCCAGGTCCGCAGATGGCCACGTACCGAACGAGAGACACCTGACAAGAAAGACATAGCTGCGAACAACGGAGACCCTGAGTTCAACCTAGGATCAGACTCCGAGTCCCCTGAATCCGAGCCAGATTTATATCCTCTGCTTCCAGACTCTGACTCTGTCTCCCGGGTCGGTCTGCTTGGCTCATCAGCAACTGCTCACTGGCCTTGGAGATGTTCTTGATGAAAAAGCTTGAAGCCCTCAAGACTGGGACTGAAACGTCTCCATTGGTGCCTCCACCTTATCCTCCGTAAAACCCCTCCCTTAAAGAAGGCAAACAGGGGGAGGGGGTGGGAGAGGTATCGGGGGGCACAAATCCTGCGCACCGTTGGCACGGGTTAATCAAAGGTGCGATCATTACTGGTGAATTTTCTTCAGTGGGCCTCTCTGCATATCCTGTGTTTACTACACAGCAGGGGGGTAAAGAGTGGGAAGTTTTTGACCTCAGAATAGTTAAGGAGGCCTGACAAGTGGTGACCACATATGGGTTAAAGTCCTCTTATACTCAAGCTGTATATGTTATGATTTTTTTGTGCTATTGACAGGAGACTTTTAATGACTCCCCTGCTATAATACATGGTCAGGCATTAGGTTCAGGTTAAATGACTAAAACTCCGGGTATTCTTGTCCAGTACAAGGATTTGGAAACCGGCATTTGGAAAGGTCCTGTGGAAGTAAAACTAACTGGTTGAGGTTATATGTGTGTAAATTACAGATTCCGGTCTGCGGTGGGTGCCAGCTCAATGGGTGAAACCCTGGAAAGAGTCAGCATCACCCCAGGACACCCCCCTTGTCAGTGACTGAATGAATTGAAATTTGAGCTTAGGACATCCGTTTTATGGATGTTTTCAGCCCTTCTTAAAGTGAAGAGAGCAATCTTTTTTACGTTAAAGTAAACAAACAAACAAACAACCCCCCCCCCCCCCCCCCAAACCTCCAGGGAAGCGAGATCAGCGCGGGATACAGATGTTTTGTGTGATTTTTCTGGTGGTGGGAAGGTCTCTTTTATGCTCTTATCAGGGGTATTGGGCATACTGTGACGGACCGTGGACTTGGGATCCCTTATACAACTCATTTAATACACTCTCTCTGTGATACTCATGTACTAGAAGTCGGTAAATATAAGTATGTCCAGGTTTCTGTCGACCTTTGGAGACCTTTATAGATATTGCTGGCCACTTCTTTCGACATAGGCTGGCCACCTGTGTCGGAATGAGTGTGCATTTTGGTCAGTATAAAAGCCCAAGCCTCATGCGATGTGGGGGGGGCAGAGCCTCTGCGGGGACGCCCGCTAAGGTTGAGCCTGCCACCTCACACTGCAATGATGCTTCTCGGAGCTGGTTTCCTGTTAGTCTCCACAGGGTCCTTGTGCCACGTTCTGTACGTGGGGCTGTAGTGGGAGTAATGATTGTCTGGAATTTGTGCTTCAAAGATTGTAGTTGTGTGGAGCGTGCTTGTGGGATCCCACAAGTGTGTGTGTGCATGTGCTGAGGGCAGATGGTGTTCTGTGTGGTTTTTTTTGGTGTTGGGTTCATGTAAAAGTTTTTAACGGGGAGCAGTTTAACATTTCGGGCATGAAAGGGTTAATGCAAAAGTGCGGTTGCCAGCAGGTATTTATGGTTGCTGCTGAAGCAGGCAGGCAGGCAGCTGTAACTGCTGCCAAGCAGGCCGGTGTTTGTAGGGTGCGCAACTTTGGATCAAAAAAAAACCACAAAAAAAACAAAACCAAAGGCAATGATGCAGCAAACTCCTCACCAGTTAACAACGTGCAGTTTAACCTGTCTGCTTCTCAAGAATGGATAACCTGGGGGAGGGGGTATATTTGTGTCCTCCTGCCTACAGGTCCATGGTGACTGCCTGCAAAGTTTGTCAAGCCTTGCCATGAGCTGGACAGACGAATGGAAAAACCTGATGCCTCAGCTGCAGGAGCTGACCGTGATTACCCCAAGCAGAATGAGATAGAGGAAGAGAAAGAACAAATAACTGCAAAACATCACTTGGGGGCAACTGAAAAGTAACATCCTGAATGTGTGTGCTTGTAAAGTAGCTATTATTAGAGGTTGTGATTTTGTGTATAAAACCACCTGTATTTACTAGCTAGTTGCCAATAAGAAACTGCACCTTGTATTGTATAGATTTGTCACTTGTAAAAGAGATGTTAGAGTATGGAAATTTGCAGTAGCTGCTAGAAAATGCTAAGGCAAAAGCTAGAAAGATTTTAATACAATGGTAGTGTTATAAAGCAGGTGATGGAACAAATTTAAGAGGGGGGAGAATTCCACTGGTAAGAAATTTCTTTGGCTAGTCCTTCACTGCCATCAGCATCTTCGACATGCTGCTGCACCCTGCAATAGTTACTCTGCTGATGTAAATTTGTGTGTGCCTTGCTGTAGTAGCGACTTGGTACTGGATGAAGGAGGTGAAACTGTGCATTGACAACAAGGTGCAAGGACTGAGGCTGACCAAATGCCTGCTACCACAGTCAAGGGCAAGACTAGGTTGGCCTCTGTGTTTGCCACCGGGAAGAACCTTTAGCTCCGCTGTTGGCCGCAACCCAGCAGGCGTGGAGCGGTGAGGACACATGCCATGCCAGACCTTGATGTGAAGGATGGCCTCCCCTGTTACCAGAGAGCCATACAGCAGAAAAAAGGGGCAGGCCCAGCAGCCTGTAGTCGGCATATAGATTCATAGAATCATAGAATCGTTAGGGTTGGAAAGGACCTTAAGATCGTCTAGTTCCACCCCCCCTGCCATGGGCAGGGACACCTTACGCTAAATCATATCACCCAAGGGCTCATCCAACCTGGTCTTGAACACTGCCAGGGATGGAGCATTCACAACCTCCCTGGGCAACCCATTCCAGTGCCTCACCACCCTCACAGGAAAGAATTTCCTCCTTAGATCCAATCTAAACTTCCCCTGTTTAAGTTTGAACCCGTTACCCCTTGTCCTGTCATTCCAGTCCCTACTGAAGAGTCCCTCCCCAGCATCCCTATAGGCCCCCTTCAGATACTGGAAGGCTGCTATGAGGTCTCCACACATCCTTCTCTTCTCCAGGCTGAACAGCACCAACTTCCTCAGCCTCTCTTCATACAGGAGGTGCTCCAGCCCCTGATCATCCTTGTGGCCTCCTGTGGACTTGTTCCAACAGTTCCATGTCCTTTTTACGTTGAGGACACCAGAACTGCACACAATGCTCCAGGTGAGGTCTCACAAGAGCAGAGTAAAGTGGCAGGATCACCTCCTTTGTCCTGCTGGTCACGCTCCTTTTGATGCAGCCCAGGATACGGTTGGCTTTCTGGGCTGCAAGTGCACACTGAAGCTGGCTCATGTTCATTTTCTCATCAACCAATACCCTCAAGTCCTTCTCCGCAGGGCTGCTCTGAATCTCTTCTCTGCCCAACCTGTAGCTGTGCCTGGGATTGCTCCCACCCAGGTGTAGGACCTTGCACTTGGCATGGTTAAACCTCATGAGGTTGGCATCAGCCCACTCACAAGCGTGTCGAGGTCCCTCTGGATGGCATTCCTTCCCTCCAGGGTATCAACCGAACCACACAGCTCTGTGTCATCGGCAAACTTGCTGAGGGCGCACTCAATCCCACTGTCCATATATTGGAGATATGATCTAGGCCAAATCCCTGCTCAAGTAGGGTCCCCCAAAACATATATAAAACAAAAAGGGGGAGATGTGGAGGCAGTGTTCTCTCAGGAGAGTGGATAATTGGTACATAAATTCTGAATAATCCTGAAAGATGCAGCAAGGCCGTGAGAGGCTCGGGGCAGCCTGAACAAGCAAGATAAGAAGAAGCTGGATTTCACCAAGTTAATGAGAACTGTGGACTGTTGGCAAGCTTTCGAGGTAAAGTTCTCACACCAGTGCTTAACCAATTATATGCTAGTTGCAAAGGGTCTTCAAGACATGTATCCAATCAAATATGCCAAATCACTGTAAGTGCACGTAAGAAACAGTATTTAAGCGGTTAAGGCTTTGTAATAAACGGGTTTTGTCTGATCATATTGTTCTCTGACTGAGTCCATATATTTTCTGCAGCAGTGGGGTTGATTGAAGGGAGGGGTCGACTGAAGGTTGGGGTTGATTGAAGGATGAGTTTGACTGAAGAATGGGGGTGATAGAAGAATGGGGTTGATTGAAGAATGGGGTTGATTGAAGGTTGGGGCGGATTGAAGAATGGGATTGATTGAAGGATGGGCTTGATCAAAGAATCAGGTTGTTTGAAGAATGGGTTTTATTGAAGGAGGGGGTTGATTGAAAAAGGGGGTTGATTGAAGGAGGGGGTTGATTGAAGGAGGGGGTTGATTGAAAAATTGTGTTGATCGAAGGATGGGATTGATTGAAGGATGGGGTTTGTTGAAGAATGGGGTTGATTGAAGGATGGTGTTGATTGAAGGATGGGGCTGACTGAAGGATGGAGTTGATTGAAGAATGGGGGTAATTGAATGATGGAGGTGATTGAAGAATGGGGTTGATTGAAGGATAGGGTTTATTGAATGATGGGGTTGATTGAAGGATGGGGTTGATTGAAGGATGGGGTTGATTGAAGGATGGGGTTGACGTTAGGCTTTGTTAGCAACTATTATGATGATGGCTTGACTTGATTTGGGAGGGGCTTTACCCACGCTTACTACAAGCGCGCTGATGACTAAAAAGGCCAAGGAGCAGTGGGTTTTTTAGGTGAGGCACAGCATGCGCAGAACTGGCCCCGTCCTTTACGCCTGATGTTTGTCTGCCAGGGCCTAGCGAGCTTGGACGGTGACAGCAAAGTCCTCCGGTCGCAGGCTTGGTTAGAGTGTCCTTTTCTGAGATGGATGGCCTTACAGGGCCCAACGAGCTCCGTCTGCCCGGTTTGAAGGTAGAGCTGTCCTTCTCCTAGGATGGTTGCCCAAGGCTGGTGAGCCCATCCTGCCATGGACACACTTTGTCTGCCCCTTCAGTTGAGACCGGTCTGGAATGGGAGACCCTACGGGAGGCATGAGCCACCACCAGCGTAGCTCCCAACCTCACTGGGGCATGCAGGCTCTTCCCCCACCACAGGGGGGTGTCCATGAAAGAGATAACCCCAGTATACCCCATTATACCCCATTATAACCGCATTATAATCCATTATAACCACATCATAACTCCATTATACCCCGTTATACCCCAAAATACCCCATTATACTCTATCATAACCACATTATAACCACATTGTAACCCCTTTATATGCCATTATAACACATTATACCCAATTATAACTTTATTATAACGCATTTTATTCTATTATACCGCCATTATACCCCGTTGTACCCTATTATAACCACATTATACCCCATTATAACCCCATTATACCCCATTGTAACCCCATTATAACCCATTATACCCCATTGTAACCCCATTATAACCCATTATACCCCATTGTAACCCCATTATACCCTATTGCAGCCCATTATAACCCCATTATACCCCATTGTAACCCCATTATAACCCATTATACCCAATTATAACCTTATTACAACCCATTATACCCTCTTATACAAACATTATACCCCATTATAACCCAATTATACCCCATTATAACCCAGTATATGACCCTAAAAGTGCTGTTTTCACCCCAAAATGATGTTGACAGCAAAGGAGCCTTTAATGGTGGCGGGGCGGGCTCTCAGGCCCAGCGCCCGCAGCAGCCCCAGGGTGCCGGGTCGGGGCAGCAGCAGCGGAGTTGGGGTGGGTCCGGATGGAGCTGGACTGGGGCTGGATGGAGCCGGGATGGGTCCGGATGGAACCAGATTGGATCTGGATGGAGCCGGATTGGGTCTGAATGGAGCCAGATCGGATCCGGATGGGGCCGGGATGGGTCCGGATGGAGCCATGTGGAGCCCCGATGGAGCTGGATTGGGTCTGGTTGGAGCCGGACCGGACCCGGATGGGGCCGAATGGGATTGGGATGGAGCTGAATTGGGTTGGGATAGGGATGAATCATATTGGGATGGAGACGAATGGGATTGGAATGGGACTGCACTGGGTCCAAATGGAGCTGAATGGGGTCAGGATAGGGATGAATGGGATCGGGATGGGACCGAATTGGATCTGAATGGAGACGAATGGGATTGGGATGTGGCTGAACTGGGTCCAAAAGGAGCAGAACTGAATTGGGATGGGACCGAATGGGATCGGGATGCAGCTGAATAGGATTAGGATGGGACTGAACTGGGTCGAAATGGAGGGGAACTGAATTGGGATGGAGCCGAACTGTGTCTGAATGGAGCTGACTGGGATTGGGATGGGAATGAACCAGATCAGGATGGAGCCGAATTGGGTCTGAATGGAGCTGAATGGGATTGGGATGGAGCCGAATTGGGTCCAAATGGAGCCGAACAGGATCGGAATGGGACTGAATTGGATCTGAATGGAGCCGAGTGGGATTGGGAAGGGACCGAATTGGGTCATTCCGGAGCTGTGGATACTGACAGAACACTGGATGCTGTTGGAACACAAACGGATCCTGATGGAGCAGAACCGGATCATGCCGGGATATTGGATCATTCCGGAGCATCGCATCACGATGGAGCCAAACTGGATCATCCTGGATTCCTGGATCATTCTGGAGCCATGGATCATTCCAGAGCTCTGGATCATTCCAGAGCTCTGGATCATTCCGCATCCCTGCATCATCCTGGATCCCTGGGTCATTCTGGAACCTTGGATCATTCTGGATCCTTGAATCATCCCGGAACCCTGGATCATTCTGGATCCCTAAATCATTCCGGAGCATTGGATCATCCCGGATCCCTAGATCATCCCGGAACACTGGATCGTGCCAGAGCCGCACCAGGCTCTCTGGGAGCATGGAATCATCCCAAAGCACCAGCTTGTGCTGCAGCTCCCCCTCATTCCAGAGCCCTGGATCATCTGGGAGCACTGGATCCCATTGGTATCGCAGCTCCTGGTGCTTGGGAGCAGATCCTATGGGATCCGGATGCTCCACACATGGACATGGATCCACGTCCGGATCCAGTTGCGAGGGGGAGCGCTGACACAGACACGAAATTCCATGGGGCTGGAAGAGCGGAACCAGGCTCCAGAAGTGGGGGCTCTGGGGTGGGGGGGAGAGACACCATTGCCCACCATTGCCCCCCATTTTCTCCATTGACCTTATTGCCCCCCATTACCCCCCTTTACCCCCATTGCCCATTACCCCCAATTACTCCCATTGCCCCTGTTACCCCATTACCCCCCATTATGCCATTGCCCCCCATTGCCCCCCATTACCCCCATTCCCGACTCCCTTCCCACTGCTCCGCACTGGATCCAAAGATGGGGCTGGGGATGCCCCGGTCCCGCCGCGCATCCGGTTGCGGCTCCCATTGAGGCTCCAGGGACCTCTGGTTCGGGTCCCGAGCTCCCGGGTTCGGGTCCCGGTGCCCCCGGAGCAGCCGCGAGAGCCGGGGGGGGAAGCCCCGGTGCCTCCCCCCCCCCCCCCCCACGGAGCAGCGCCCCCAGCACCGAGCGGCGCCGCTCCCGTAGCAGCACCGGGGCCCGGTGCAACAGCGCCCCCAAGCGGGAGGCCAGGACCCGCGCTATGGGGTGTTGGGGGGTGGGCACTGGGACCCCCAAGTTATGGGGCACCCCCTTTGTGCCCCCCAAGGTATGGGGCAGGCTCTGGAAGTCCCCTATGAAGCCCCCCGAGTTATGGGGTGCCCCCTTTGTCCTCCCCCAAGTTATGGAGCAGGGCCTGGTTCCCCCCTATGGAGCCCCCCTTTGTGCCCCCCAAGGTATGGGGCGGGGTCTGGGGGTCCCCCTTTGTGCCCCCCCCAAGTTATGGGGCACCCCCTTTGTGCCCCCCAAGGTATGGGGCAGGCTCTGGAAGTCCCCTATGAAGCCCCCCGAGTTATGGGGTGCCCCCTTTGTCCTCCCCCAAGTTATGGAGCAGGGCCTGGTTCCCCCCTATGGAGCCCCCCTTTGTGCCCCCCAAGGTATGGGGCGGGGTCTGGGGTTCCCCCTTTGTGCCCCCCCCAAGTTATGAGGCGCCCCCTTTGTGCCCCCCAAGCGATGGGGCGGGGTCTGAGGGTCCCCCTTTGTGCCCTCCCCCAAGTTAGGGGGCTCCCCACCTGTGGAGCTCCCCAAGTTATGGGGCGGGGTCAGGGTCCTCCCTATGGAGCCCCGCCCCATGTGACCCGAGGTGACCTCGCGGGCGAAGAGCCCGCGGGGGTGGGGCAGGAGGCCCCGCGCCCGCCCCAGTTTGGTCCCGTCCAGTTCCCGCCGCGGGCGGCGCGGGGGGGGGAGGGGAGCGGTGGCGGCTTCATGGGAATAGCCGGGGGGGGGGAGAAATAGGTGGGAAATGGAGGGAAATGGGAATGGAAAATGGGGGGAAAAGGAGGGGAAATGGGAAAAGGGGGGAAATGGTGGGAAATGAGAAATGGGAGGGAAATGGGGGAAATAGGGGTGGGGGAAATTGGGAGTAAATGGGAGGGAAATGGAGATGAAATGGAGGGGAAATGAGGGAAAAAGGACGGGAATTTGGGAGGAAATGGGGGAAATGGTGGGAAAAGGGGGGAAATGGTGGGAAAAGGAGGAGAAATGGGGGAATGGAAGGAAATATGGAGGAAATGGTGGGAAATGGGAGGGAAATGGGAAGAAATAGCAGGAATGGGGAGGAAATAGCAGGAAATGGGGGAGAAATGGGGGAAATGCAGAGGGAATGGGGGAAATGAGAAGGAAAAAGGGAGGAAATGGGGGATAGGAAATGGAGTTGTGAAGTTTGATCCCCCAAAGGGCCGCAGATCGCCCAATGGACACCCCAGGATCCCCACTGCCCCTCCACTTACCCCCCATTGCCCCCCATGCCCCCATTACCCCCATTGCCTCCATTACCCCGACATTGGCCCAGTTGCCCTCCCCGATGGACTACAACTCCCATCATGCCACGCGGCACCCAGAGAGCCCTGTCCTAGAGTCGCCCAGCCTGGACTACAACTCCCATGATGCAGTGCGACACCCATACAGCACCATTAAGGCACCGCCCGGCTTGGACTACACCTCCCGTCGTGCCGCGCGGCGCTCCCAGCGCGCCAATTTCGCCCATCATGGCGGAGCTGGAGCTCCCCTCCGATCCCGACCTGTGCAGGTTGGAGCCCGCGGGACCCCCCAGTGGGGGCTTTTGGGGTCCTGGGGGGGTTGGGGTGCTCCTGACCCCCTCTCTTTGTCTCCCCCCACCTCCAGGCTGTGCACGGGGCCCTGTGCCCCCATCCGGGAGTACATCATGGGCCACGTGCGGCACCGCGGTGAGGGGGGCACCCCAACATCTGGGGGGAACTGCAACATCTGGAGGGACCCCAAACCTCGGATCGGTCCCTAAAATACATGGCGGGGGGGGGTGGGGGGGTGGTGTTCCTATAGGAATTCTGAAGTTTCCTTCTGAAGTGGGTGCTGGGCTCATAGGGGTCCTTAAAGCCCCCCTCCCTAAACCCAGTGCTGAGACCTTTCGGGGTGCCCCCCCCCCCCAACCTCCATGGTCCCTGCAGCCCTTTTGGGGTCCCCAAAATGGGATCTGGACCCCTTTGGGCCCCCCAAACTCCCCTCAACGTTTGGCTTTGGTGCCCCCCTTGCCACCAGGTTGATGCTGGAGGCCATGGGGCTCTCAGGGGCTCGGGGGGCCCAGATCCAGCAGGGCCCAGAGCTACGGGGCAGCCCCATGGACTCCCCAGAAACTGCCCTGGGGCCACTGAGGAGGCAGCTGCAGGAGGGGAAGCAGCGGCTGGTGGGTGCCAACGGGGGAATATGGGGATTTGGGGGGGTCCTGATGGGCTTGGGGGGGGTCTGGGAAGTGGAATTTGATGGTTATGGGGAGGAGTTGGGGTCCCTGAAGGGTCCCAGCACCGCTTTTTGGGAGGGATGAGGGATATGTGGGGGTCCTGGAGGGGGATTTTGGGTCTATAGGGGCTGACATGGGGGAGTTTGGTGCTTTAGGGGGAATTTTGGGGGTGCTGGGAGGGGGATCTGGGGGTTATGGATGGGTTTGGGGTTAAGGGAGAGGCTTGTGGGGAAATATGGGGCGATATTTAAGGTGTTTGGGGGTCTTGGGGGGTATTTGGGTCCCTCCCATGGCTTTGGGGTCCCTCATTTCCTTGTGTCCCCCCCTCCACCCCTTCCAGTCCCGTCGCTGGATCCAGCTCCGGGCTCTGGGCGCATCCAATGGGAAGCTCCAGGCGCAGCTGCGCCCCCTGCAGGCCCAGGTGAGCAAAGAGGGGAGATCGAGGGAGGGGCGGGGGGGGCGTGTCCTCACCCCTTTGGCCACGCCCCTTTCAGACCCTAGGGAGAAGGGCGGGGGCTGCTGGAAGCGCTGAGCATGCTGGACTAAAAGGACACAAATTAAGTAGGCCCTACATTAATAACATGTAAATAAGGAAGTAACGTGTAAATAAGGTCAGCCCTACATGAGGTGCGTGTGGATGAAGCAGGTCCTACGCTAATTGCAGGTAATTAAGGGGGGGGATAATGATGGTGGGATGAGAAATGGGGAGGGATGGAGGGAGAGGGGGAGAAATGGCAGGAATGTGGGGAATGGGGGTGGGAAAAAGGGGGAGGGGGAATGGGGGGCATAAGGGGGGGAGGGGAGAAAATGGGGATGCGGTGGGGGAGGGGAAGAGGGGAAAAAAACGGGGGGTGGGGGGGAGGGGCGAGGAAAGGCCCCATATTCAGCCCCATGGGGGGCAGCCGGGAGGGGATAAACGGGGACACGAGTTGGGGAGCTCAGAGCTGATTGGCTGTTGCCTGGGCAACGCTCGCCAGAACGAGGCCGGGTGGGGGGGGTGTGTGTGTAATGCGTGGGAAGCGGTACGTGGAGACCCCGTTGCTAGGCAACGGATGCATCCAACCCGGAAGTGCGGAGAGCATCGCGG